GGAGGAGGAACGCGACCATCCTGCGCGCGCCCGCGAGTTCAGCAACTGCAGGTTCGCGGACCCGCGCGCGCGGCCGCGCCCGCGCACCGGCCAACGCCCACAAACGCCGACAAGACATGAGGGACCGCGCCCGTTCAGCGACTGGTAGGCTCAACTACCTGGAGAAGCCCGCCTCGGACCATCAGACGAGGCCGCGCTTCTACCAGCATTCGACAGAACGCCGGTGGCCAGCTCATCATCCGGCGCTGGGATACAGGGCGGTGCTTCTGGCACTTGTGTTGGATCACAACTTCGAGCGAGTCCAGTAAGTGGCGCAGTGCCGAGATGAACAGCGCGGCCAGCTACCGGCTCATCTGTAGTCAACCGAAGGCCTTCAGATTTGACCCGCTTCGACATCGCCACGTCACCGCGAGCATTGCGTGGCGATCCGCGCGAGACACGAACGCGAGAGCTACGCAAACAATGCCTCTGGTGGTGGCGCGCCACTGACGAGGAAATGGCTCGAGCTCTACGTGCGGCCAACATGCCAGAAGCAGTCCTCGATCTCACCCCCGCGATGGTCCACAACTGTCGGGAGTATCGCATCTGGCTACGACCGGCGCGCCATGCGATTCCCGCGCTACGCCTTTCCACGCGTTTTAACCAGCACGTCGAATGTGACATCCTGTATTACAAGGACCGCATGATGCTGCGCTTGATCTGCCGTGCCTCAGGGTGGTACAAGTGCCGGGGTATCGCGAGCAGTCGCGACCTGGCGCTTGTGGCCGCCATCGACCGTTCTTGGACCCAGTTGTTCGGTTCGATGGAAGGTGGGGTGGCATGACCTCGACGTCCTTCGTGGAAGGAATGTGGAGGCGAGGGGCGCAGGCGGACATCCGAGCTCCACGCCAGCACGGTTGTGTATGGAGCGACGTGGTGCAGTCCTACGATGCGCACTCCACGCCGCCGAGGGGCAGCTGGGGCGCGAAGGTGTCTCCGCCAAGTCGACTCCATTCTGGTCCGCGCTACCTTGGGGGGCAGTCGGCTCGCCCGCGTGGGCGGCGTTGCGCCGTGAAGCGTCGACTTCGGCAGGTAGCCCTCCATGATGCCACCGCTCGAAGCAGAGGAGGAGGTTGAGGCATCCGGCGATGATGTTGCTTGTGCTGGTCCCGCTGCCAGTGTGTAAGTGCAGCCCAGTCGACTGCAGTGGCGTATCCGTGATATCGCCTTGCAGCGTATTTTCGAGGCTACTCCGATCGTCCGCCCTAACCGCGCCCTCCGGACACGCGCCGCCGAGACCGGAGAGGGGCGCTTCAACGTGAGTGACCCGGTGGAGATCCACCCACCTGAGCAGAAAAGACAGGTGGGGCTGTCGGGCTGGGCAGGGCCAGCGCGGTCCTTTCTGGGCACCTGGCCAGAGGCAAGGTGATCGTCAAGTGTCGCCAAGACGAGGTTGTCTGCAGAATGCAGGGCGTATGGGCCCTCATCGGAGTCGTCTTCGACGACGTGGACGCAGGCATGGCGCGAGCAGGCCTGGCCTGGGATCGCGCGTAGGACTGCCCAGGGCACGTCGCGCCAGGCTGTGGGGCCAGGACCTTCGGCCGCTGGGGGGACGAGAAGGGCAGGTAGCTGACCGATCAGGCTCGGCAGCACCCTGATGTCCTCGAGGTCTGCGCCACTTGCCCCGCCCGTGCTTCCAGCTACCAGGCGGCCGCGCCGCGCGTCTTGTGCGCGGCCAGAAATATGTGGGCGATTGGCCAGGCTGCGCCCGCAGCTAGGTCATCTAGTGATCCCCTCCGAACCCGAGCGACGTTCGCCAACTGCGCGTGGGCGGCGTCAAGTCCGGCGCCCACAACCTCATCGGCGAGCAGTGGGCGCTCGCATCATCCAGTTCATCTTGGGTGACGTGCGTCGGCATGCAGCAGACGCCTGGCAGGGCCGAGAGGGGGCGTTCGATGACTGTGTTATCAACGCTCCCGATGGCGCCGCCAGCGTCACCGAGGGTGGTGCACCATCAGCCCTGTCGGTCATGCCCGAAGAGGCTGACAGCGGCATCCCCGGTCACATCCAGCAAGTGATGTTGGCGGCCTGGCAGGAAGCCGAGGGGGCGGGGGTCTGGCCCAGAAGATGCGGGAGCTGGAGATCGCCGACAGCCAGCAGAAGGTCTACGCTGCTGTCGAGCATGCGGCCGTGGGCCGCTGGCCACGCGAGTGGCCCCAGCACCTAGAGACGCAGCGCCTGCGTCGGTTTATCCGCGCGCAGTGTCGGTGCGACCTGCGTGGCGCCTCCTCGGGCGATTGTGCCAAGCTTGGGGGGGGCGCGGGGGGGTGTACTTGGGCCCTGGAGTGCGAGAAGCATTCTTGAGCGGTAACGAGGAGCCGTCCGGCAAATCTGTTGCTTGCTCCTCCGCGGCGGCCGTGCTGGAAGTGCGCGCCGCCGTCTTTGCCGCGGCCGTCGAGCGCGACGCGGGCCTCTTGTGTGCAGGGGAAGTGGCGAGGTTTTTTCTAGGAGGTAGCAGCCGCCGTTCCCGAGGAGCTCAGCATCTGGGTCAAGTGAAAGTTTTTCGAGCGACGACCTGTCGCATGCGCGCGGAACCTCATTGGCTCCAAATGCGTGTTCAAATGGAAGCACTGGATGGGGTCGGACGGCAAGACCGTCGATAGTTTCCAGCGCCGCATGGCGCTGAGAGGCCTCCGCGACACGTGCGCCGGAGCTTTGGAGATGTTCGCCAGCGCGGCGAAGAGGACGTTCCAGCGCATTCCGTTCTCAGGGGCGGCTTGTCGCCCAGACTGGGTGTGCGTCGCCGTGGGCGTCGAGCAGGCATTCCTGCCGCCCGGCTTTGCAGCCATCCGCGTGCAGGTGCCAGGCTGCGAGTCCTTCGACGAGCGGACCGAGCGCCTGCGCTGCATTGGGCCAGGTGCGGGCGCACGGGCTGCAAGGAAGTGCCCTGGGCCTTCTCAATGGAGCTCGCCGGGGTCGCGGGCTCGCCAGAGTGCAACTCCGGGCCGACGCAGTGGGGTCCTGAGCTTGAGGTCAAACATGAGGCGTTTGGCACCGATGGCGCCGGTGGCTCGGTGCCAGCGGCCGCGCTGTCCGGGCGCGTTGACGACCCCTAGATCGCAGGGCGCAGGGGGCGCGTCGACCGACTCATCGGCCGCGTCGAGGGGGTCTTCGCCAAAATGAATTGGGATTATGTTGTCTTCGCCAACTGCTGAGCCCATCAACGCCGCCGTGCCTATGGCACCGTGGCGCTCGACCAGGGCGAGGACATCGACGCCCTGATCCCAATCGGGCGCGTCGACCTGGTCAAGTCGAAGGCAGACTTAGCCGGCCGGAGGTCAGCTTCCAGACCTCTTCGTCTACAGTTCCAGGGCAGCGGCCTGCGCTCTGCTCGCGCAGCGCCGCTTTGCCGTCTACATCTTCGCGCTGCGGTGGGCCAAGATCGAGCCGCTCGTCGGGCGCGTGGTGCAGCTCATCTCTGTTGTTCTGGCCGCGCAGAAGATCAAGGCGAATTTCACCATTCCGGCGATGGAGTGCGCGGGCCGGCTCTGCGTGCGCAGCGACGCGCGGCAGGAGGGGCCAGGATGCGGCTGGCGAGTCGCCGTCTTCATGCGTGTGAACAATTGTCGCAGTGTTGGCTACCTGCCACCTGCGCGACGCCGGGGGCCGATCGCGCAGACTTGTGTGTCGATCCTTTCTCGGCTCAGAGCTGCCCGCAGCCTGCGGCGCAGCGGGTGGCCTGCAGGCGTGCCTCATGACGCTCCACGAGATGGTGCGCGGCCCCGCCTCAGCAGAGGAGTTGGGGGGGCTAGGGGGGGGGGGGGGGAGTTTTGCGCCGTGCCGTCCAGGCTGGTCGAGGACGGCATGTCTGTGTTCTCCGACCCGGCCAGGGACTTCGTTCGGCCGCCATTGAAGAGCACGTGGCAGGCCACCCGTGGTTGTTATCAGACCAGCTCCGCACCGAGCAATTCTCCCATTTCGCATTGGTGTGGCACTCGCGACATGAAGGCCAATTCCACGACGCAGGGCAGCATCGGCTGCCAGCCTATCATCGTCATCATGGGCGGGGAAGCTCAGCTACGACCGCCCTGCGGTCAGGTTGAGGAGTCAGGGGCGGCGCATGAGGACAGTGCCGAGTTCCCGTCGCCGCGAATTTACCAAGGACAAGCGCTACCACTGAGACTAAGTCGACGGCTCGGCCCACGCTAGAATAAAAAGCGGGATCTCGAGGCTCGCACTCCGCGAGCTGAGTTCGCGAATGCGACGCGGCACGCTTGTTAAGTGAGCGGACTGCATCCGCGAGCCATGTTCGTGGTGCAGCAGGCCTTGGACAGCAGAGCGTGCAGAGAGTGATTGCGCTCTCCATGCGCTGATCTGCTGCTTTCCATTTTTTATGCAGAACCTGCTCAGGAGAAGGTTCTCTCGCCAGCGCTGTGTCTAGCAACCTCTTTTGCTTCGCTGGCTCGGGTGTGGTTTGCGCGCCTGGGCTGGTTGGGCTCGGGTGGTTTGAACACCAGACTAGAATGGGACCTTTGAGTGCTGCACATCTTGCCACATGCCTTGCTGGTCTCCCCTGTCCGCTGCCGTTTTTGCTCGGGGGCACAAACGGTCACATTATCGTGCCCGTTTTATACATCGCCTGACACATCGTCAGTTTTTTTTTCAGCTGCGTATTGAAACTGCGCCTTTCACCCTCGTCTCTCACTTCTGGTCTCCCGCTCTTCTTCCTCCTTCTCCTCCTCCTGCTTGTCCTCTTCCTTCTCGTTCTCCTTCTCCTTCTCCTTCTCGTCCCTCCCTTTTTTTCCCCTTCCTTTCCTCCTTCTCCTCATGTGTTCTCCCCCAGAACTTTCCCCATGGGTTTCCGCTGTGGCCCGGGGGAAACGATTCATTTCTTGGTAAGCTTTCGGGCCAACGTTTGGCCACGCAGGCGTTTCCTTCAAACGAGGGGGCGGCGGTGGTTCGTTGTCGGCGTTTTCGGTAAAGAATTAATTCAGCGCTCACCCCCAGCGCGCGTCCCCCAGCCAACCTCCTGCTGGACTGCCGGGCGTGCCCGTCGTCTGCCGCGGCGGCGTTCTCCGCCTTCTGCAGCAACTGCCTCCTCACCCTCGCGGCGGCCGTGCTCCAGGCAGGCCCCCCCCGCCGCCAGCGGGCCCGTCCTTTGCCTTTCGGCCTCCTTCCTCCCCCCCTTCCCCCTCTCTTCCCCTCCTTTTCCTCCCCCCTCCTCCGTCCTCTTCTTCCTCCTCCTTCGTCGTCGTCCTCCTCCTCCTCCTCCTACTCTTCCTCCTCCTCCTTCTCCTCTTCCTCCTCCTCCTCCTCCTCCTCCATCTCTTCCAGGAGGAGGAGGGGGAGGCGTAGGAGGAGGAGGAGGCGGATGAGGAAGAGAAGGGCCAGGAGGAGGCGGCGGAGGAGGGGGATGAGGAGGAGGAGGTTGATAACGAAACCGAGAATAATGCTGAAGATGCTGCTGCTGCTGATGATGATGCTGATGATGTTGCTGCTGCGGCGCTGATGATGCTGATGACGATGGTGACGATGATGATGCTGCTGATGACGACGATGCTGCCTTTGACGACGGCGACGATGATGATGATGCTGATGGTGTTGATGATAATGCTGACGACGACGATGCTGCTGATGATGATGCTGGTGCTGCTGATGATGCTGATGATACTGCTGCTGATGATGCTGATTATGCTGCTGATGGATGCTGATGATGAGGATGATGCTGCTGCTGCTTATGATGACGTTGATGATGATGGCGATGCTGATGATTACGATGATGATGATGACAAAGATGCTGCTGCTAATGCTGATGATGATGCTGATGATAATGATGATGGTGCTGATGATGATTCTGCGACTGATGATAATTCGGATGATGATGACGATGATGACGATGATGATGACGATGACGATTATGATCATGATGATGATGCTCATTATGCTGCTGATGATGAAATGATGAGGATGATGATGTCGGTGATGCTGCAAATGACGATGATGCTGCTGATGCTGATGATGGTGACGCTGATGATGCTGATGATGCTGCTGATGATGATGGTGACGATGCTGTTGATGGTGATGACGATGCTGATGATGCGGATGACGATGCTGCTGATGATGATGCATATGACGATGATGATGATGCTGATGATGATGATGATGATGATGATGATGATGATGATGATGATGATGTTGATGGTGCTGATGATGATGGTGGTGCTGATGGTGATGATGATGATGATGATGATGATGATGGTGATGCTGCTGATGATGACGATATTGGTAATGACGATGCTCATGCTGCTGCTGATGATGGCGATGACGAGGATGCTGATGGCGATGATGCTGGACATGATGATGCTGATGATGATGATGATGATGTCGATGATGATGATGATGCTGATGCTGATGATTCTGATGATGACGCTGATACTGATGCTGTTGATGCTGGTGATGATGATGCTGATGACGCTGTTGTTGACGATATTGACGATGATGCTGATGATGATGACGATTATGCAGATGATGTTGATGCTGATGCTGATGATGCTGCTGTTAATGATGCTGCTGCTGATGATGATGGTGATGCTGCTGCTGATGATGATGATCATGATGATGATGAGGATGATGATGATGATGATGATGATGATAATGGTAATGGTGACGATGATGTTGATGATGACGATGATGACGATGATGATGATGCTGATGATGATGGTGATGATGATGGTGATGATGCTGATGTTGCTGACGATGATGATGATGATGATGCCGCTGATGATGATGATGACGATGATGATGCTGATTTTGATGATGATAATGATGACGATGGTGGTGGTGGTGATGATCATCATGATGCTGCTGATGCTGCTGCTGATAATGATAATGACGATGCCGAGGATGATTATGATGATGATGAGGATGATGATGAGGATGAGGATGAGGCTGATGATGATGATGATGATGATGACGATGTCGACGATGATGATTATGATGATGATGCTGCCGCTGATGATGATGATGATGATGATGATGCTGATGATGATGATGACGATGATGATGCTGATGATGATGATGATGATGATGATGATGATGATGATGATGATGATGATGCTGATGAGGCTGATGATGATCATGATGAGGAGGAGGAGGAGGAGGAGGAGGAGGAGGAGGAGGAGTGGGAGGAGGAGGGAGGGCGGGAGGGAGGAGGGAAGGCGGGAGGGAGGGAGGAAGAGAGGGAGGGAGGGAGGCAGGGAGGGAGGGAGGAGGAGACGGGGGAGGAGGAGGAGGAGGAGGAGGAGGAGGAGGAGGAGGAGGAGGAGGAGGAGGAGGAGGCCCAGGGTAAACCCAATAGTGATCAACGATGTTGGAATTAACCCTCCCTCCAAGCTCCATCTTTATAGGCCCCTACAGCGGTTCTTGTCCATTGAGGGAATTGCCCTGTTGGAAGACAACCGTTTGAAGACCCTGAAGTATGCGAAAACATTGTTCGCGGGATTTCAACGTCAAGGATCAACCTGACTGTTGCGTCTTGACGATCCGGAATCGTGACAGAACGCCAGTATTGGGATCTCAGCACCACGAGTCAGCATAATTGTTGCACCCGCATAATCTAGAACCCTTCCAAAACCCAATTTCTGGTACGTTGATGATGGGAATCCTTGCAGATTTTTAAAACGAATGTGCGCGGCGCTAAGGCGCGAGCCACATTCTGTAAAGAAACCATTATCAATCCGTGAAACTCTTGCAAACGTTTAAAGCGAATGTGCCCTTCGCTAAAGCGAGAGCCACATTTTGAAAAAGGAACCACCCTCAATCCGTGAAGGTTGTTCAAAATATTAGAGCGAATGTGCGCGGCTCTAAGGCGAGAGCCACATTTTGAAAGCCACCCGCCCTCACTCTGTGAAAATCGTGCAAATGGTTGTAACGAATGTGCGCGGTGCTAAGGCGAGAGCCACATTTTGAAAACCACCCGCCCCCATCCGTCAAACTGTTGTCACTGCTTAGCTTCGGAGTTTTAAATGGTGAGGAAGTCTCAGGCGAAACGCCTGGCCCGCTCTACAAACTGGCCTCGGGTGCGACAGGGAGAAGGTATTTAGAAGGAAAAGGAATGGGGGTTGAGTATGAGGAGGAGGAGGAGGAGGAGGAGGAGGAGGAGGAGGAGGAGGAGGAGGAGAAGGACGAGGAGGAGGAGGAGGAGGATGAAGACGAGGAGGAGGAGGATGATATGAGTGGAGGGAGGGATGGATGAGGGAGAATGACGAGGACGTAGCATGGAGGATGAGAGAGGAGGGGGGAAGGATGAGGGATGCGGGATGAGGGAGGAGGAAGGAGGAAGAGGAGGAGGAGGAAGAGGAGGGATACGGAGGAGGAGGAGGAGGAGGAGGAGGAGGAGGAGGAGAAGAAGGAGGAGGCGGAGGAGGAGCAGGAGGAGGCGGAGCAGGGGGAGGAGGAGAAGGAGGGAGGAGGAGGAGGAGGAGGAGGGAGGAGGAGGAGGCGGAGGAATAAGAGGTGAAGGCGGAGGCGGAGGCGGAGGCGGAGACTGAGGCGGAGGGGGATGGGGGAGGCAGAGGCGGAGGAGGAGGAGGAGGAGAAGGAGGAGGAGGAGGAGAGTGAGGATGATGATGAGGAGGACAGGGGGAGGGGAGGGGGAAGGAGAGAGGGAGGGGGGGGCGAGGGTGAGGGAAAGGAAGTGGATACTGATGATGCCGCTGCTGCTGATGCTGATGCTGATGCTGATGCTGATGCTGATGCTGATGCTGATGCTGATAATGATAATGATGATGCTGATGATGATGCTGCTGCAGATGATACTGATGATGCTGATTCCTATTATGATTAGGATGGTGGTGATGCTGATGATGCTGATGCTGTTGCTGATGATGCTGACGATGAGGATGTTGATGATGCTGATGTTGTTGATGGGGGTGTTCAGGATCGTGAGGTTGATGATGATGACGATGATGACGATGACGATAACGATGACGATGCTGCCGATGATGATGATGATGATGATGATGATGATGATGATGATGCTGATGATGATGATGCTGATGATGATGATGACGATGCTGATTATGTTGGTGACGACGATGATGATGTTGATGACGATGCTGACGACGATTTCGAGGATGATGTTGATGATGATGCTGATGCCGAAGACGATTACGACGATGACGATGTTGATAATGATGATGATGCTGATGCTGCTGAGGATGATGCCGATGATGATGATGATGATGATGATGATGATGATGATGATGATGAGTCGGAGGAGGAGGAGGAGGAGGAGGAGGCGGAGGAGGCGGAAGAGGAGATAGAGGATCGAGAGGATTGGGAGGTGGATGCCGATGATGAGGAAGAGAACCATTGCAAGCACAATGCGAATCGAGGATGTTGCAGTAACCCCTCCCACAAAGTATTTTTCGTATGCCTCTACAAGAACTTGTTTTCTGCGGGGAGTTCGCGTTTAACTCGCACCACAACACTGTGCCTGGGACTTCAACGCCGCGAGTCAACGTGACTGTTGCGTTCTGGCAATCCGAGACCGTGCGATAACACAATTCCTGGGATACCAACCCTGCGAATCCTTGAACACATCGAATTTATTAATGTGACCAGTGTGCGCGTCGCTAAGGCGACCGCAACATGCCTCAAACATTCAGTGCCTGCACCGAGCGGTTCTCATTTATTTTGTAAAGAGCTGGGCCCGCCCGTCGCCATTGCGGCTATGCGGTCGCTGTTGCCGCCCCGTCGCCGCCTTGTCGCGCCCGTTTTTGGGATTGCCCGTCGGTCTGGTGGCTATGTGGTCGTTCGCTGCCACGTCGCTTTGGGCTTGCCCGTCGGTCTGGCGGCTGTGTGGTCGCCGTCGCCACCCCGTCGCCGTCTGGGCCTTGCTTTGCACTTTTTGGTGTTATTTCGAACTGCGTTGGATTGATTTGCTATGCCTTTTTTGGTAGTAGTACCCGCCGTTTGCACTGCATCTCTTTCACATCTTGGGTCGCATTCACATTTTGTGCATTGCGCTGCGTTGCGCTGCTTATTCCCAACCCTCCTTGGTTGGGTATTCGTTTTGAATAGAGGAGTGTGGTCGCGTCCTTCTTCTCCCGCCTCCCGCCTCCC